AATTGCATGTTCTTTAATTGGTTAATATATCCTACCCAGCATGTTGAATTCGTGTTTTCTTTATGTATTATACTAATAAGCGGTTTTTTATGTGGTATCTGGTGATAAATGTAGATTAACAATTGTAGTAACAAATAATATATTTTTATTTATGTGTTCTACTCAATATAGTTTTATTTTTAAACCCCGGATTTTATATTTTTTATTTCAGGCGTTTTTAACACTAATGTGGTAGATTTGCGTCCTTATGTTATATGCGAAATGGCGTAAGCAGATTTAGGACCAGAAATAAAAGCTTTTTATTAAAAAATTGACGCCGTTTCGACGTATATTGTCGTCTATTTTCAGCTAAAATTTCTTTTGTCAACCGTAAACATTATTAGTAGCTTATCCTGATAATGCAGATACAGTAGACATACATTTTTTTACAACACTACACATAACATGTAGAAACTGTATCCATACTATCAGGTTAAGCTACTAATAATGTTTACGGTTGACAAAAGAAACTTTTAGCTAAAAATAGTCTTGAAAAGACGAGAATATACGTCGAAATATCGGCAATTTTTTAAATAAAACGTTTTTTATTCCTGGTCCCAAATCTGCTAACTTCATTTCGTTTTAAACACTTTTATATTATACACATTTTATATAAACCTATTCTATATTTAAAATAAATAATTTAAAATTATTTTTTAGTTTTATTTTTAATCCATTCTAGAGTAAAAATACCCCCCTATATATACAAAGAACCCGCCATTAAAGTTCCGGAACCGGAAATTAGTTTGAAATTGTCATGTCAAAAATTGACATGTCTTTAAATTGTCATGTCAAATGTCATTTGAAAAATTAGTTCTCCAGACGACAACAAAGGCTTTTGGTGGCGTATCGTGTTTCCACGATTTAACACAGAGTTGACACTTCTTTCTAGTTAATTATTTTATGGGGAGGAGTACGAATGCGCGAGAAATTCTAATGGCAGCCGCCATTTTTATCTTTATCTAATAGGTGGGGGGGTGGAGGCAAGGGGGGGAGGTCAGAAAGCAAATCAGAAAGTAAAAGTTTCTTGACCGTCATTATTAAGTCCTAAAAATATCTTTAGAGTTAAGAAAAAAATATTGGCGGTCATATAATTTTAGTTTAATAACTAAATTTATTTATTAGTCTAGTACCAGTGGCACATATACAGGAGTGATAATGGGGGTATTTATGAGCGCCATATTTAAATTTGGCATTTTAAAAATCCTTATTAAAAATGTTTTCAACCATGTATTTCAATATGGCGCCCATAGGAAAAGTAAAAGTGCACTTCGGCCATGCGCAACGTAGTAAGCCTAGACTTTTTTAAACATGATTTTTAAAATTTCCATATTGCCTTACCCCTATGTTAAAATTTTGATAACCTTAGCTCCAATAAGAAAGAAAATACGGTGGTGTTTAGAAAATGCACATTTTTCTTTTTCTCCCTGTATTTACGTAACGGTATATGAATATTAAATAAAATAGACCTAGACTATTTTTGGACACACAAAGACGTAACTTTTCTTCTATTTAGCCGACCTTGTAACTTTAACGGTCTTCAAGATCCCCATTATTCCCCATGTAGGTACCTCATTTTAAACTGGACTCCTTGTATACGTGTGCGAATTTTCAGGTCAATACAATTAAAATTTAAGATTTGGCTCCTTCTCCATAATACGGCCCTATATCAGATCAACAATACGATAATTTCTAGCGTATATAGAAGCTAAGACAAAGCTGTAAAATTATTGTATTGTTGATCTGATATAGGGCCGTATTAAGGAGAAGGAGCCAAATATTAAATTTTAATTGTATTGTATTCTATATACGCATGCAAATTTTCAGTTTAATATGATAATTAAAATTTAAAATTTGGCCCCCTCCTCCTAAATACGGGCCTCTGACAGCTCAAAAACTCAATAATTTTGTGTTGTCAAAAACCAAGTGTTGTTTGTTATCGCTTTCAAGTAAACCCGTCCTCCATCTCTCTAAGTAGCTTTGTTTTTAAACTAGTAATAAACTCCAAATATTAATCACAATAAATCAAATTTAACATACAAACTATATCCGAGCACAACGCGATATGTCGTATTCTAGCTTGTTCTGTTAGAAATTCCACAGCGTGCAGACAGCACCGTTTACTCGCGCGGAAATACCGATCGAAGCAGTGACGTCAGGCCGCGTTTAGCGGATTCAAACGATTACGATAATTTCGCACGGATTTTTGAGGCATAAAGCTTAATTTTCATGCATCCGTTATACGTTGATACGTTGGTCCGACGGTGCTCTGATTGGTCATAGCGTTTTCGCGCCACTTTTCATCCGTAAATATTTTACTTCAGCCCGTCAACGGACACGTTCATACGATAACGCATAGATAAATGAAACAAGTTTAGATTGGAAAGTGCCCATAAGGACAATGTAAACACTATTTGGCGCTATTCTTGCAACGGACGCGACCCAAAACTTTTGAAAATTTCGGAGCGGTTCGGCTTTTTCCGGAATTATATCGCCAAATATTGTTTATTCAAATTTATTATTATTTTCGTTTAATTTTATAAATAAAATACAGTGTGTTGCATACAAGAAACTTTATTTTATATAAGGACGCATGTATGAAATACCTATGAAACATTGGAAACCGACGTTATGCCACGATCCACGATGGTTTTGCAGTTCACAGCACAGCTTTTAAGTTTTAATGCCACTTTTCCACAATTATCACCGGTTGGAGTAAATAAAACTTGAATTGAACTCACAAGATAGCAATAATTACTTTGAAAATGGACGCTATAAACACTTTTCGGAATTAATTTAATGAGAGCGGTTTAGATTTTGAAAGATTATTATGATTTTTGAAGATTCTGACTTTGACAAGAGAAAATTATTTCTGTTCATTGCCTGGAAACTTATATGGTGAAATTTTGATAAAATAATTTAGTACTCACTAAAAACACGGTATGTCGCTAGTGGTAGGAAAAATAAAAAAGCGGGGAAAAAGCTTAAAGCGGGCTCTTAATAAGTATATATTTATTTTTTTCTCGGCAACCGTTTGATGAACAAGAAAAACTTAAAAGATCAATTTTATTGAAAAAGGATGGCCAGTCAAGAAAAACATTTATTTTCTTTAAAAAAGCAGTAGTGTACTATTTATGTTAAGCAAAATATCGATTTTTTTTTAATTTTTAACACCCTGTAGATCAGAAAGGAAGTACTTTAGACCCAATGGTTATATAAAAATTATTTTAAGAACAGATGAGGAATCACACCACAATTTTTTAGACTAATTAGGAAACACCCTGTATATTGTCAACTTGACAATGATTGTTGATAAATCAAAAAATATCTTTTCTGTGAAAAAAGCCCGATTTTCGCAGGAAAAATTTTGGTTTTTATTGAATTTGGGCCTGCGTCTGCAAATACCCGGTATGTTGTTTAATATTCTGTCTATCTAAATTTTAAATATCATAGTCAGAAATAGTTTTATTATTTATTAACTGTAAAAATGGTATACTTATAGGTTTTATCAAATATTGTGATTTACTTTCTACCTTGTAGTCAAAATTTATATTTAATAAACTGTAAAATATATATATTCTTATGTTTTATTAAAATTACTCTGATATACTAATATATCAGTGTAACTTTAAAACTAAATCCTTTGAAATCAAATATAAACATAAAAAATATTTACAGCAGAAAAGGCGAAGGCGCTGGGTTAAACGTAGTCTCTACTAAGAACACGGAGGGGCGCTTTGACCCAAAATTTTACTATTAAGTTTCATATCTATCTTATCAAGAGAAAATTATTTCTATTTTTGTTTGCCGTTGTTCTTAGCGACCGCTATAGCAGCGCCAGATCGCGTATAACGGTCGCGACCCAAAATAATTTCGCGACCCAAAATTTTTAAGGGCTTTCCAATCTAAACTTGTTGCATTTATCTATGCGATAACGGACATTTTGACACTTTTTTGACAAATTTAATCTAACTTTAATAAAAATATAAGTAAAATAGCAAAATCGTTATGGAAACGAAAATATAAAATAACACCAACGTATATCCGATAAACTGAGGCATGAAAATGCAATAAATTTAAAAACTGCGTTATTTTCTAACCAATCAAAGTCTTTAAATTCTACCAATAAAATTAATATCGTATCAACGTATCGTCGGACAACGGATGCATGAAAATCAAGCTTAAGTTATGAAAATGAATGTCTCTGTTGATATAAATAAGCATTCGTCAAAAAATGAAATAAAATATTTATAATTTTTTTATAAGGTGTTACTTTTTACCACACTGTCTAATACACATACAAAATTCAGTTTTTTAGTATTTGAAGTAATTATTATTAATCAACGTAAATAGTCAATTAATGTAGTTTGAATACTGGGATCATATTAATTGGTGCACTTTAACAAAAAATATTTAAACAGTTTTTTATTTTTTAATAAAATAAACGAACTATACCGACAATATTAGTATCTGTACTCTTTGAAAATTTGTTACATCTTTAAAAATAATCTAAAATGTCAATATTCCATGGGTATAGTGATAAATGAGGTCTAAATTATAAGAAAATGCATTTTCTACGAAAACCTGAAGAGATATGTAAAAAATGGTATAATACAATTTGGTAGCCAATTAAATTGTGCATCTGATTCTCGTAAAATATACAGAGTGTTCCAAAATGTTGTTTTTGGTGTTCCTGTAAAAAACTAAACGTTTAGCTACAATACTCCGTGCCATATGTGGTGAACAACCCTGTAGACATGTATAAAAAATATATATTCCATAATTAAATATATAAAAAAAAATATTTAATTATTATCTATATTTAAAAAAAGAACCATTCATACAAACACCATACAATAAAAAATATAAATATGTAATATGATATACAGATTAAGAAACAAATTAATAATTAATTTTTTGGTATTAAATTTTTTTCTGCATTAATATGCACTCCCCTGGACTTACCTTTGCCTACTCTTTCTAGGTGCCTCAGACTGGATGCCTTCTATGTCTTCTTTTCCAAGTGTATGCGTAAATTTATTGATCTGTTTTGGATGTTTCAGTTGTTTTGAATTTTCCCTGTAAAAATATTTTAGGTCAATTTTTATTTAAGATCAATTATTCAATAGATCATCCAAATTTTCAGAAAAACAATCTAATTTTCAATTAAATGAGACAACTGCCAACGTCTTGTATTCTTTTGCTAGACAGACTATGTATAAAACTTATAAAGTAAATAAGATCTAAAGTAAATTCTATTATTAAATTTCAATAGCTTTACTTATTCGAAATTGTATTTTTTTTGGGGTTTCCATTACATGTTGGTACACATAACAAAGGATTATAGTACTTATATTGGCAAGTTATCCATATACCTTAAATTAAATCATAATACCTATGGAATTTTATATGAAAAACTTACGTAGACAATGTCTTTTTATAAAGTTCAGAATATTTTTCGCATAGAGACAACAAATATCTCATTTGGTTTAGAGCTGCTTCCCTCCTTTCCTCAGCCTCCGTCTGCTTATCAGCTACATCATTACTCTGACGATAGTATTTTCTCTTGGCTGTAGGTTCAACCTTTACACCGAATTCTCCAGCATTTTCAGCAATCTCTTTTGTTGCTGACTCGTTTGTAGGTACATTGATAGAAGATACATTAGATAGAAACGATACGTTTTCTTTGTCACTAAAAATTAATATCGACATTATTACATTTGTTAACAATGTGTTTATGAAATAATCAAGAATTAAATCTTTATAAAATAAGTACTTCAAATTTTAAATATTTAAATAACTAAACTGTAAATGACTTACTCCATTATTTCGTGAACAATTTTGCTTCTAGTTCCTTTATAATAATTGTAATATCAGTATTAAACAATATCACTGAGACAAAATGTCACAAGAATAAAAACGGACAAAAAATTAAATAATAACTTTTGGAGGGAAAAACGATTTTAAAAAGAAAAATAGGTTAAAACAAATCATGGGAAGTTAGCTATAATTTTTAACTGACGTTACCACAGCATAATATTTTCGTTCATATCTTTCATTCAAAAAGTAAATAGAAAATAGAATTAAAACAACAAACAAGGTTTATTTTTAGATATAAATCAGGTGAATCATTTTATAATGTTGTTCAGGCTGTTATACGTACCGCAACGTGTTTAAAAATTATAATGTATTTTGTATTTTGAAACCGATAGATCGAATTTATCGATACCCAAATATCTTGTTTTGATGATAGAATTTGACAGAAAACAGCTGTTGCTGACACCCCTTAAATTATTTTTGTTTTTTTTGCAAATCTATGTTTTTGTGCCTTTGCTCTAGAGTTCTTATCCATCATTATTTAAGACCAAGTAATAGTTAGAATGTAAAACAATTTTATAACGTTGGATTAAATAATTTACAACGAGCTTAATACAAGATGATTCCCCTTTCGGATAATCGGGACGTTGCTTGTTTTCTTGTGACAAAGCACTCATGGAAGGGAAAGTATGTTTATTATTCAATTAATTTTAAACACGTTAAAGTATTTTCTTTAAAATATACTTATTGTTTTAGGTATAAAAGGATATTTTCTATAGGTTCAAGAGGTATAACCACTTATAACCCTACAACATTGGAAGTTACAAATAAGTGGGCATACAATGACTTCCATTCTATTCAGCCTGTTAAAGGTGGCAATACGCCTAATGAGTTTCAAATATTGGTCAAGAAAGAGAAGAAAATTGTAAAAATGAATTTTTCATCTGAGCACAGAAGTAACATTATATCAGAAACTATGAAATTTAGACATTTATTTATGGAAAAACCAAGAGAGATAAATGTAAACATATAGTATTACTCATCTATATATTATGTGTACACATCAATGTTAATTTGTAGAGGTATCAAGCATATAAACACCACTGGTCAGATATAAGGCTCCCTGTTCTTCTTGAAATAACACCGTACTCTTTAAATCAGTTGGATCCTACGACAAACACTATTCTTGCAAGCTACATGTTTAAAGATTTTGAAGGAATTTGTACGATGTCTGATTATCCAGGTAGGTCTTTTTTGGATCTTTAAAATTTATTAAGTAAAATAATTGATTTTGTAGGTGGATTTGTAATAGTTTGTGGTGGTTTCGGTCGACTCCACTTATTTCAGTCTGTGGATTTTGAAGAAATCAAAGTAAAAATTTTAGAGAATGCAGCAACAAATTTACATGTCACTATTAAAGTATTAGGTCAGCCAATTAGTTTAGAAGATTTTCAAAGGCAGAGATTTGGAAAATATAGGTAGGTTATTGTTTTTGTGCTAATTAAACATTATTACAAGAACTATCTTTAGTAAATGAAATTTTTAAAATTTAATATTTTTATACACCAGATCTATGAAAAGTACTTCATAGTTATTTTTATTCTTAGAAAGATTTAAGTGTGTTTTATAAGTTAAAGATTTAAGTGTGAAAGATTTAAGATTTAAAGGACCAGGAATGTGATATAACTGCTAAGTGAAGTTTAACACTTGTGTGTATTTATTTATTTTTGTTATGATTTACAATTAAAATAAAATAAATATTTTTATATATACCTACTAAACTTATATGTAATATAAACTTCGTTATAACTGAGGTCTAGAAATCCAAATAATCAACAAATAACAAATTCTTTACTTTTGTTTTGTAATTTATTTTTTTTGCATAATATGAGAAGAGGAATTATTTATTTGTATTGTTTATTTTTTATCAATAGTAATTTTCAAAAGTCATTTATATACAGGGTGATTCAGTATTTTTTTACAAAATATATGAACAAAGCTCATTTTTGTATAAATAATTGGGTTTGGTTTGGTTGTAAAAAAAATATACATTTACGACGTTTTTTAAGTAAAAACGGTCTCTTGGTAAAAATCGCTACAAGCTACCATTCTCAAGATATTTAGAATGAAAATAGTTAATACATGTCATTATTGACAAAACATAAACATGTTGAGTAGATAGTTATTTGACTGAAATGATAAATTTGGGAACTTTTTATTTTTTTAAATTAATCATAAATTTTTCTTTGAAAAAATGATGCTAAAACAGTTTCTGTTGAACTTTTGGCACAAAAACATTTTCATTTTATGATTTCAGTCTATTAACTACATATTCAGTAAACATGTTTAATTTATGTCAGTGATGACGACAGGTATTGATAATTTAGATTCCAAATATCTTGAGAACCATTGCGATTTTTACCAAGATACCTTTTTTACATAAAAAACAATCTCTTAAAAAAAGGTCGTAAATGTATATTTTTTTACTCAGTAGTTTTATACAGGTAAGGACGAGTAAGTTATTAGTCTTCAAACAAAGCTTCAAACTAGTTAAAAAATATGTAGGTGGCGCCCTCTACAAGTAGGAGTCTTTATTATTAGGCCATGTGTATTGAGATACTAATAAAATGGTTTATAAGCACTTATATACTATTTAATCTCATATGTATGTATGTATTGTGTTAATTAAGGGAAATAAATAAATTAAAATTTACTAATATCTTCGGTAAAAAAAAACAAAAAAATACACGTAAATAAAGCATTTGTTAATACTGGACTTGGTCGCTTTCTTTTGAATACCAATGATATGTTAATAGAGGAAATAATAATATTAAAGATTACTAATACCTACGGGTTTGTTAATAGAAACTTCGATTTGACATCAATCAAATTTCTCAAAAAACTTCCAGACACCAATTTTCATCCAAATGTTGACGTTACTTCAGAAATTATTTGGAAAAAATCGTAACAAAAATGAAACTTCTACACCCTGTATCTCCGAAACTAAGCATTTTAGGACGTACATTTATACGAACTTTCTTACTTATTTTTATGTGCAGAATATGCTGCCGAAGTTTCCGGAATACAGTTCGGACCACCCTGTATATCTAGAGTTACAGTACAATTATCTCCATGATGGTTCTTAACATGTTAAAATTTTCATTAGAAGCCAGAATCAAGATTATAATTCTACAAAAAATAACATTTATCATATTAAATACAAACTAATGAAATAATGTTTATAAAAGTGGTAATTTAATTATGCTGTTAAAAAAAATCGTTATCGCTAATTTTACTTGGCGAAACAAGGGTTTCATATTACTTTTAGAAGTAAATATAATGTTTATCTCTGCAATTTAATTAAACTATAACATGATACACAAGCCAGACAAATTAACCATTTTTTAGTTAATTTAAATTTATAATTTAAAACAAAACATATAAAACTATGATGTTAATCTTCCAACAATTATGTTTTGTCGCACGTTTGTGATCGTCTTGTACAGCTTTGTGAAAATATCAGTTTTGGTTTAAGTTTATTTTAAATTATCGCAAAGTATCATCGATAATGCAGATTTTTTAATGTATGGAGTGCATGTGGTCCTTTAAAATGAAGGACACCAACGTACTAAATTAGATCACTGATAAAATTCTTTCAACAACCACTATATAAGTATTTATGAAGTTTTATGCAATGTCTTTTTTTATACAGGGTTATTCACCACATACGACAGGGAGTATTGTAGCTAAACGATTAGATTTTTACAAATTGTAAGTTTGGGTTCGTTGAAGGACCATTAGAGCTACAATTTAAACATATTTTTACAAGATACAGAGTGGCCTAAATAAATAACAAATAACAAAGTTGTATTTTTTTAACTGGTATCATTTGTATCATTTAAACACTCTGTATATTATTACATTTTTAGTTTCTAGGATTAAAATAAAGGTAAATTTGATTAAGGTTTATCACACTTAAACCTTACCGTTTTTGAAATATTTTCAATTTTGTGAAATTGCAGTAAAAAATTTATGGCTTTATTTCTCTACTGGTATCAAAGTTTTTAATACTAAATATTTACTGAAGTTTATTTATTGATCAGTTATTGGGTTGCAATAATAAAAGTAATACTACCTCATACAGAGTGTCTCAAAATGTATTTTAAATAATTTCTAGCTTTAAACGGCAATAACTTGTTTAATTTAAATGGAACACCCTGTATATTTTACGAGAATCAGATGCACAATTTAATTATCGTACCTCGTATATTTTAGGAAAATCGGATGCAAAATTTAATTGTCTATCAAATTGTATTATACCATTTTTTATCTACCCCTTCAAGTTTTCGTAGAAAATGCATTTTCTTATAATTTAGACCTCATTTATCATATACCCATGGAATATTGACATTTTAGATGGTTTTTAAAGCAACGAATGTACAAAATGAACAGGTGCTAAAACTAGCTAACTAGTGCTATATTACTAGCCCATTTGTGTACAAAAAGAAAACTATTTAAATCTTTATGTATATCTTTTAAAATTATTTCCGCCCAAATATTAATTAATTACATACTTAATTGTGTTAGTTAATAAATTATTATAAATAAATGTGGATTTGAGTCAGAAATCAATATAATAATAAGTTATCGAATTAAAGTCTCTGTTGTTATAAATAAGCATTTGTCAAAAAATGAAATAACATTTTTAAGGTGTTACTTTTTACCACATTGTCTAATACACAGGCTAAATTCGGTTTTTTAGTATTTGGAGCAATTATTATTAATCAACGCAAACAGTCAATTAATACATTAATTGACTGTTTGCGTTGATTAATAATAATTCCAGTATTCAAACTACAGTTTGAATACTGGAATCATATTAATTGCTCCTCTTTAGCAAATGTTTAAACAGTTTTTATTTTTTAAAGAAATAAACGAACTATATGGACAATATTAGTATCTGTACTCTTTAAAAATTATCTAAAATGTCAATATTCCATGGGTATATTGTTAAATGAGGTCTAAATTATAAGAAAATGCATTTTCTACGAAAACTTGAAAAGATAGGCAAAAATGGCATAATACAATTTGGTAGACAATTAAATTGTACATCTGACTAGTATAAAACATACAGGGTATTCCATTTAAAATAAAGTTTTAGACACTCTGTATAAGATAGCATACTTTTTTATTATTGCAACACAAAATTTAGTAAATAGAAATACTTCAGTACAATATTTGGTTTTAAAAACTTAAATACGCCTAGAGAAATGAAGCATTAAAATTACTACTGTATTTTGACAAAAATCTAAATATTTCAAAAAATAAGGTAAGATTAAAATGTGGTAAACCTTATTCAAATTTACCTTTATGTTCATAGTAGAAACTAAAAATGTAATAATATACAGGGTGTTCGATTTAAAAAAATACAACTTTGATATTTTTTATTTATTTGGGACACTCTGTATCTTGTAATAATATTTTTAAATTGTAGCTGTAATAGTCCTTCAACGAACTCAAAACTTATAATTTGCAAAAATCTAATCGTTTAGCTACAATACTCCGTGTCGAATGTGGTGAACAATACTATAGACTAATAATCATTTTTTTTCTTTTGCAGCGATGACGAATTCCTAACATCCGTCTCCGAGTTCGTTGTGCACAAGATCCACAAACCGCGCCACTCGGAACCCGTGCGCCGAACCCTTTGCTTGTCGGAAGTCTGTCTGCTCGAACGCGACCCCCAAACCTACAGTATTTGTACCTTACAGCCGTTGTGTGATATTTTCGCTTTAGTCCGTAACAATGCAAACCCTCAGTTATTTAGTATAGAATATGTGAACGGCCAGATCCGAACCTACACCACCACAGACAGGGATTCGCTATTAGCGTCTTTGTTAGATGGAGTACGTGCTTCGGGAAATAAGGATGTCCACGTCACCATGGTTCCGACCCAGAGGGGATTTCGCCTGGGTCCGTTGCACATACCGGTCGAAGAAGAGGCGGAGAGTTTACACTTGAAGTTTCTGCAGAATCCGCCCAGTCAATATCCGTTTTCCTTGTGCGTGAGGAGGTTCAACGCTAACGTATCGTACAGTGGTCTGTTGTACAGCGTTACGCAGGAGGGTATTTTTTCGGAGAACAAGGAGAAGCCTATTATCAGCGCTCTGCAAGCGCTTGTGGTTAAAGAAGGTGATCAAATGACGATAACGGCCGAAGATTTGGAAGCTCAGTTTCAGGCGTTGAGGCGATTGGTGGCCAGTAAAGTTGGTTATGCTGCATTTACCAAAGCGCCCGGGTAAGCGTATATATACAGTATGTCCCCGGATTGTCTTTTCAAGAGGAAACCCTTTTTTTATTATTGACCTTTTGAGAAAAATGCATGCTTCAAAAAAAACATTTTGCTTATTCTGAAATGGTTAATCCCCATTTATACTTTTCCATATTTCCATAGGTACCGTTTTAGAATAAATTAAGAAAAACATGAAAATATGGTTGAATTTTTTCCAAGTCCTAAAAATTAAAACGCGTGTCTATGGTAATATCCATTCAATTTCATTCTTTGATAGATGGTTATTATTAATTTTAATTAATGTCATATTCTTTGCTGTTGTTAAAGTATCATATTTTCCGATAATTATTATCACCCTTTCCGTAGCATTGAACTAAATAAATTTTGTGCTTCTTTAACATTTTAAAGCAACAAAAAACATTACGTTAATTAAAATTCTATGAATAACAATCTATCAAAGAATGAAAACAAAGTTATATCTATACTAATAGGTATATAAAATCCTTAAGTGACTGACATACTGATTAATCACGATCCTGCTCAAACCACTCAACGTAAGAAGCTCAATTTTGGCATACAGGTTGATTCTAGGGTGTAGAGGTTTGATAAGAAGGGACTTTTCGAAATTCCAGTTCCAAGAGGGTAAAACCACCCATCAAATATTACAATATTTTTTATTTAAAACACGGTCAAGTTTCCGAAAAAACGCTTAAACACGTATATTTTATTTTGTTTTTTTACATATTTTAAGATTTTTTAAAAATGTATACAGGGTGTTCCGAAAAATCTGGTCATTGATTAATCGCCATCCTGCTTAAAGCGCTTGACGTAAAAAGCTGATTTTTGGAAAACAGATTGACTTTAGGGTGTAGAGGTTCGATGAGAAGGGATTTTTCGAAACTCGAATTCTAAGGGGGTGAAACCAAAGACATCTAAATAAAAGGAGACGAAACAATTTACATTTTACCGCGATCACGAACCGTGTTGCACAAAAATCGATGATGCCAATTTTAAGTGACCGGTGGTAGATTTCGGCTGATTACGGTTTGAGTTCTAAATGCTATTGTCATTACAAGGTCATTAGACTAAATATTTGTGTAGATATATATTTTAATTATAATACATTAATTATACTAGGATTATACCTTTGAAATTATTATTAGTTTTCTAATTAAATTATATTAAAATTACGATTAAAATATATTAGGGGAAATTACTAAGACAATCCGGCATCGCTACGGATTAATTTTTACTACAATTGTCGGAATCTGTAGAAATTACGCTGACATTTGACGTATTCATTCAACTTTTGTCCAACGGAGCATTGTTGCGAGTTTTCTGCGACCGTTGGAAGTGTTTGTGGATTTCGGACAACTTTCGAATAATTATTAGTGTTTATTGCAAAGAAAACTATTTAAAGTAGTTTTTTAACTATCTACAATGGTTCGCCAGTGCATAGTTTGTGAAAGGTGGACTATTCTAACTCCTGATTGATATTTGGACGGTAAGTGTTATTACATTTTTTTACCTTTAGCAATGCCTTTACAGTAGCGTATCTAAGTACTTTTAGTTATAAGTAGATTATTACAAAAATACGTATATTTTCATATTTGCTGGCGTTTTTGATTGTGAAATTAGACTTATCTGTAGTATCGTATCACCGACTTATCCTCAGTTAGACCTCAGGCAAAACCTTGGCAAAACCGATCTACGTTTTAAGTCAATTATTTTAAGTATTTGTCCATTTCGCTGTTACAGTTGGTGGTAAAAAATGCTCACGGGTAATACTGACTGTTCTCAACTTAACATTTAAAAACCTTTTTTATATTATATATCTAAGTACCAACTAACATTCGAAACCGCTATAAATATCATAAAAATTGTGTATGTTATGGCTAATATCTGCTGAAATAAAACAGCTGTTGCTGTTATAGGTAGTTAATACCTGAAATTTGAACACGATTTGAACATCAAAATTATTCAGTTATATTCTATATTAACTATGTACCTATATATATGCTAAATTAGTATGACAAAGTTAGCTAATGTTCAATTAAAGACATTTAATTTTTGTAATTACTTCAGACTTTGGCTAGATAATTTCCACATTTCTCCCCCAATGTTGAAAGAAAACTGTTTTTGCAATCTAAATATTAATATTATTGAACTCTAGTTAACATTAGCAGGTTTTAGATATTAACCGTAACACATGATTGATCTATTATTTATTTATTATAAAAAATTCTATAAGTAATTATATAATAGGAAAGGTTTAGATATAGGTATTCAAAATTCAAATTAAAAAAGTTAATAAAATAAATAAAATTATAATGATGCTTCAGTACTTAAAAAATATGCACTGTTTTGAATAATAATGATAAGCCTTACTTATGATAATTCTTTACTCTTTCATTTATGATATTTTTTTTTTTAGTTTTGGAACCCTTTACACTTTTACCCACACTTACCTATACACCCATACACACGCACACAATTCACAGACGAGTACATAGCTGGTGTTTTAAATAGAGGAAAATAAACCTTGGAAAATTTTTCCTTTAGGTTAATTTTTCCTTTTTTTTACCGCATATTTTTATTATTTTACATATATTATTAAATAGATTTATAATACTTAATATGTATGTGTTGCATATGTAACCAATAGTACTTTTGTAGCGTTCCTATAATTACTGAGCTTAGACAATGATCGATTTCACTCTTGAATTTGAAAAATCAAACTAATGTGTGTCCAAATTTGTTCTGATGATTTTGATAAGAGCAATATTATGATCGCCGAATTAACTGATCGAAGGCAAATAAGACCAAATTCTGAGCCTCAAATAGATAGTACCATTTTTGCTGGGGCTTTATCATACAGGTAAAAAGCAGTCAAATACATTTTAACAGTTAATAAATAAGTATTGTACTAATATTAGTATTTACTCTAGGTTTTCTTCTAGTTTGTACCGCCACCCAAAAAATGTTTTAGGTAAATGAACCTCCAGACCAGCTGAGGGACTAGAGAAGGTCCCTACCTAGTCCCGCGATTGGCAGTTTGGCTGGCCCCTCAAATTTGTAAGAACATTGATACATTTTATACATGTATTTTAATATTGATAATTAATTAAAATTCACAGGATTTTGCCTAAAATCATACAAGATAAACTAGCCCTTCTCAAGAAGCCCTTCCCTCAAAACAACAGAAACGGCATTGGAAAAAGAAGTTGGAATTAACCAGTATGTGCTCTTTGTAAGTGTATTCTGGATGTTTGACTGACAAGGCTTAAAAGCTCTTGTATTTTTAACAGAATGGGAATATAGCTGTATTCATAACAAAGTAATATATATAATATAATAATAATATAAAATGCTAATGTTTATCTGTGTCGTCTCTACTGAAGTAACGACTTGCTCTAGAAAGTTGCTTTTTTTACTAAAAGATAGCTAATTGGCTCATCGCCGGATTTTTTATTTTTCATTTAATTAAAAAAAATAATAAGTATTTTTTTTTCCTGATGTCGTGGCGGATGCGCCAGGCTTCAACTAGTATGTAATATATTTTAAATGAAATACTCTCATTATAACTATTATTGTCAAGTAGTGTACTGTGCCTTATTGAATACAGGTGTACACCCTCTTGCGAAGTATTTACTTTTTAACATACAGGGTGTCACAATGTAAGTTTAATTTTGACATATCCAGGTATTTCTTTAAAAAAATAGAGACGCGAAATTTCGTAGACACAATTTTTGCGGTAAAAAATCTAAATACATTCTTAATCATACTTTTGACGTAACTATAGTAGACGGGATACTTTGACACATTGAGCTTTTTCAAAATAACATTTTTTCTGCTTTTGTTTGCCATCTTAATTATTTAAAAATTGACATCTCTATCTTTCTCGCAGAAAAGGGGACACTTTGTTTATGTCATTAGCAGTAATAGATTTCAAGGAAGCTGTTATAATATCTAATAGAACAATATAACGTAATATAACATTACTAATATCACTTTGTATCTTATTAATTAAGCACTTTATGGGTTTACTTCCCTATCTTAATTTTTATAAAAATACGAGACTTTATCGGTCGAATATCCAGAAACCCTGTATAATTAACATAGCTATCTTTTATTTTATATGTTTTGTCAAGGATATGTTATTTGGAATTATTTTCCACATTATAAGATCATAAACTACATAATTTTTGCCATAGTGTTGGTTTTTGTTTACATATATTTTCTATGAGTGAGCTTTTGTTTTGCACTAGAAAACATTCTCGCTTAATGATAAATTTAATACTATAGAAGGAAATTATTAGTATTTAGGAAAAAATTAAAAACGAAAATAGGTTTTATTGAAAAATTAATTATTAATGTTTTTTTGTTTGTTTACAGCATAGTAAGACAATCCTCATCTTCTGATCTCTCAATAGTTGGATATTTATTATCTCAAGAAAGTCGTCAAAGTATCAGAAAAAGGTAAAAATTACCTCTACATTATATACAAGGTGGTGCCTCTCCTACGACGCGGAGGCTCCAAAGAGAACGGTGGTTTTTATCGTTAATGTAATTTTGGGAGCATATGTAGGATAATGGAAAGCATTTTATAGAAATATCAAGAGTTCTGCGGGGTGTCCCCAAAAAAAGTTATGCATCAAAGTTTTTTTTTGTAATGGAACACCTATATATTAATTGATTTTCGGATTCTAGGAAAGAAATAAAAGTGAGTTTTGTTAAAGAAGCATATGTCTAAAATGTAAGGCTTGTCATATTTCACATTTGGTGAAAATAATGAATAAACTTTAAATTTCAATAACAGCTACCTAGATGGAAATTTACTCATTGTATATTTAACCAAATTAAAATTTGACCTTAAGCATTCTATTAATTGATGAATGCACACTGCAATTAAAAGATCGGAATAGTATTCTGGGTGTTCAAATAAAAGGGAACTTGCTGTGTTCATTTCAAATAAAAGGGAATAAAATTACATTTTAGTCCAATAA